CCCACACATTTACATCAACCCTCCCTCCGGAATATGCAAAAAAGGGCATGGCCATATTTCTGCCGCTCGTTGAGTGTATTATGTTCACCCAGCTGTCAGGTCTTCTGTATTCAGGCTTCCCACAGACGCTGTAGTTTGTCAAAAATAAATACAATTTATGTTTGATTATGTTCCTGAAAATGACGATCATAATTCAGCTCTCTGTGCAGCGCATTTACGGAAGACAGCTTCCAGAATCTCAACGAATAGGCTCTATGCACAACTTACTTCCGTATTCTGTGAAACAGGTCGCATCGCTTCCGGTCCAGATCTTTTGAATGTGCTTCATGAAATTTTTTGCGGTTTTACTCAAGATAACTTAAAAGGAGCAAGCAAAGATTAGCATAACCAATGTCCCTCACATGTGCAGATTGATATTTAAACATTTTATATTTTTTTCTTCTTCACAGTAACGTTTAGATATTTAAATGGAATAAAACGCCAATAACAAAGTGAACTAGGTAGGTTAGCTGATTACCTTAAAAATCCATAGATATCGTAGTCAGGTCTCACGGCCGTTAACACTTCTCTGACAAACGGATGCGATGAGACCTGTTTTCCGGTTTGGTCACATGACGCTCGACATAAAGCCTATTCAACACCGGATTCAACAAGAAACTGTTACTAAAACATGAAGCAGTTCCAACTTTAAAACCAGACGCAGCAGTTGTTGGGCCACAACCTGTAAGTAGGTTAAGACTTAATCATTTTAAATGTATTTGCATGTATAATTTTCAGATGTAGCCTTGTGTTTTAGTTTTATCAAATGCCAGCTCTGGCTTTATCCACTTAGTTATGCTATTCTGTGTCTACGACAAACGTGTACAAACATTTTGGACCTGAATTTGTATATGTACTCATTTTATGAATGTATTTTTCATGTATTTTTCAAATGTATATATACTTTATGACATTATTTTTCGATTTGATCAAAAACGTAAACCAAAGCACGCTGTTTGTGTATGTACTGTAATAGCCATTCAGTTCAATGCTATTGTGTAAAACAAATGTGCATAAAACTAAAAAAATATATAGGCAAATTACCATTCAGAAACGTTTTGTAAGAGCCATGTGTGGTGAGGTTCTGCTCGACTTTAAAAAAAAGAAAAACCACGAATACATGCTATATTGCACCCCATAAACACAACTATGCAAAGAAAAAAAGCAGTAAACCACCCCTTTAAAATACCTTACAATGATCGATCGTAGATTATGCTACATCACACAATTACAATGAATTGACAATTCCTGAACCAAAGAAACAGATGCTGGAAACAAAATAAAATTAAATAAAAAAAGAATCATGTTCATTCTGTTATCTTTTTATTGCAAATTGTCTAATCAAAAATTACTCAAACACACTTTTTAATGACTGAAACACACTTAGAGTGCTTTATTAGAAATGTGGTTCCAAATCAGAATAACATAAGAATGTTGATTTTATAATGCTTAAATTAACAAATTCAAATAAATGCAAATGAATTTAAAAAAGTTACTTTGACAAAAGTGAAATTCAAACAGGATTTGAGTGTGACCATCAGCTCCAACACGATATCATGAAAGTGCGTATCTGTACCACAAATTTAATTTCTCGTATTATTTATATGCCAAAAAATGTTTTTTTGCGTGCATATGCTACGCACTGTAAATCACTTGGGTAGGTTTAGGGGGATGGGGGTGGGGAGTACGTGCGTATTACATGCCAAATATTGCGTATCATATGCACGCGAAAACTGCGTATCTTATACACGCAAAAATTATTTTTGCCGTGCAAATGACACAAGAAATTAAATTCGTGGTATAGATACGCACTTTCATGAGATCGGGCTCTCAGATCTTACTGTGATTAGAATTGCCTGTAACTAACTTGTTAATATGTTTTAAACAATGTTTAAGAAAGTAAGTAAACTTTATAAAGTAAACTTTATAAGCTTGAAGCTGCCTCAAACTAATCAAACTTTATACATTTTTTAACAAAATGAACCACATTTTAAACATTTAAATGTTGTTAGTTGAAGAAACGTTTGGCAGAGAATGTTAGAATTATAGTAAAAAAAAAATTACTGTAAGTGTATGTAATACAAGTATAATGTATTGTATTGTTGTATTGCCGCTTCAGCTGTGATATACAGCTGTTGTGGGGACAGTATGTCCTATAAAACTCAATTTACTGTACATACAATAAATACACAAAATTGTCAAACACTCTGGTTTTCTTTAGCCACTTCAGGGTACATACAGCATGCTCAAGCTAATGAATAATTAATTGCTTATAGTTTTATTTGGGAAGATAATGTGGGCTACTTTCAGACCCATGTTGGCAATGAAAATACTGGATTTTTCTTTAGATGTTACAGCGATGTATCTTCAAACTTCCGGCAAATGTTTTAGACATGTATGTAGAAGAGACATGGGTGAAGTGAGTGTTAAAGTTACAGTCAAATCAATTTCATTATGTGGAATTTTGATCTATGAATATCTGACTCATAAACTAATAAAAAGTCACTTTAAAGGAAATAGATAAATTGTGTCAGTATATGAATAAAATACTTGTCTACTTAAAATGCAGTCTGTTACAATAAAGAAAGCCCTTATGTCCAACAAACAACGAGATAAATACAAAAAAGTTTTAATTTGTTATAAAGCTCTTTCATTCACTTTCACCCAAAATAGCACCTTTAACACATTTCATAAGGGTATATTGTTATATTTACTTATTAAAGCATAGAACATTCCATTAATGTTGCAATTTGTGGAATGAAAATGAGACTGTGAGGCCCTGTCTGAACAGACACAGATGCTTAAACCACTTAGTAGTATTGGATGTAGTTAACATCTAATTTTTAAGAACAGTATATTCTAAAGTTGTTTATGCACAGTAACACATTATATATTTTGAACAGACTGTATTTCTGCCGTCTCGGTTATGTAAGTAACCCTCGTTCCCTGAGTAGGGAACGGAGACGTTACATCGCATGACGGAGAATGGGGGTTTCGCCTAGAAAGTCAATCCTCTTTGAGTATTAAAAAATGAGCCAATGGCAAGGAAATGCCATGGGTCTGCGGCATTTGCATGACGTATCCCCGCCTCACCTCATGAGTATAAAAGGAGGAAGCGGACACAACCACAGTATGTCTTCGCTGAGGAGCCGAGACTGAACAGAGGATTGGCCAAGGAGGTGCTGTTGCGAGGAGTATCAGTTCGGAGAACCAGGTCTTGGTGGGCCAATATGGAGTGACCAAAATGACCTGCTCCTTGTCCTCCTTGATCTTGCTCCTTGAGTCCATGCGAGAAGGCTCACTGGGGGAAACGCATACTTGCGTAGGCCCCGCGGCCAGCTGTGCGCCAAGGCGTCTGCCGAGCATACCCTTGGTCAGAGAGTAATACAGGGCATAATGGGATGAGTCGTGGGAGGCGAACAGATCTATCTGTGCATCCCCGAACTGGTCCCATATCAGCTGGACCAACTGGGGATGGAGTCGCCATTCACAAGAGATTGGACGGATCCGTGACAGCTCGTCGGCTGCCAGGTTCTGCTCTCCTGGAATGTAAATAGCACGAAGGACCTCAGGTGCTTCTGACTCCATAAGAGGAGGTGGCGTGCGAGTTGCAACACCCGGTGCGACCGTAGACCACCCTGCGGTATTGTCTGAACGGACTAGTACGTGTTGACCCCCGAGCCACGCATGGAAGTGGTGCAGGGCAAGGCGTACTGCCAGCAACTCGAGGCAATCGACATGCATAAGGCGCTGGGGTCCTGTCCAGGAACCCACGGCTGCATGTCCATTGCACATGGCACCCAACCCGTGGCAGAGGCATCTGTGGAGACAACAACATGCCTGGAAACACGCTGTAGGGGAACTTCGGCCCTGTAAGAAGCTGAGGTTCGTCCATGGGATGAAGGTCTGACGGCAGGTCGGAGTTACTGGAACTCTGAGCATGCCGCGATGCCATGGCCACCTCGGGACTCGATCGCGAAGCCACAGCTGAAGCGGTCTCATATTAAGCAATCTGCTGCGGATGCCATATGGCCCAGGAGCCTCTGAAAAAGTTTCAGTGGAACTGCACTCTTGCCCTCTGTCGAAGACAAGTCAGCAGTGAGTGTGCGCGCTCACTCGTAAGCTACGTGGACATGGCGACCGAGTCTGTCTCCATACCGAAAAAAGAGATCTTCTGCACGAGGCAAAGTTTGCTCTTCTCCCAGTTGACCCGAAGGCACAGACGGGCTAGGTGCCAGAGAACAAGATCTCTGTGTTCACAGACCTGATCTCGAGAGTGTGCTAAGATCAGCCAATCGTCGAGATAGTTCAGGACGCGAACCCCGTGTTCGCAAAGGGGAACAAGGGTTGCCTCGACGACCTTCGACCTCCTAAAGACACGAGGAGACAGAGCCAACCCGAATAGGAGAACCGCGTACTGATATGCCTGTCCCTCGAAAGGGAGGGCATGCACGAGGGACCATTTCTCCTCAAACCAAGAAACAGTCTGTGTCGAGGTAAAATGGAGACATGAAAGTACGCGTCCTTCAGGTCTATCGCTGCAAACCAATCCTGGGGCCGAACACATTCGAAAATGCGTTTGGCCATGAGCATCTTGAACAGAAAGAGTGAAGTCGGTGAAGAGTGCAGTTCAAAACGCGTAGATCGAGGATCGGTCGTAACCCACCGGTCTTCTTGGGGACAAGGAAGTAGGGGCAGAAGAACCCTGACCTCATCTCGGCTGGAGGCACAGTCTCGGTTGTACCCTTCGCCAGCAGGGTGGCAACCTCCGCTCTCATGATCGGGGCATTGCCACCAACCATCGTAAAGCGGACTCCCCGGAAACGGGGAGGAGACCGTGCGAACTGGATCACATAGTCGAGCCTGATAGTTCGGGTGACCCACTATTGGAAACATCCGAGCCACAGGTGTCCCCCCGGAGGGGCAGCGGGGCGGAGAGACCGGCACAGGTGAGGGTGGCATAGCAACCCTGCGTGAGTGCACGATCAGGTTCCGCGCCCCGACAGAGGAAACCAGGGAAGGTCCAGGGTTCCACGGGGGTCTGGTGATAGAGGGGAGGGAGAGTGGCGTGGTCCGGAGACAACACACACTGCCATCCGCACCCTCAGAGACCGGGGAGGACGAGAGTGGCGAGGCACGGGGGCGTTGCACACAGCCATCCTGCTCTGTGTGCTCAGAGATGGAATGCAGCTCTTTGAAGAAAAAATTCTCCCCCAACCCACCACCAGGGGAAGGAGTGGGCCTGCGACCACTCCCTGAAATAACTGCAAGCCATATCTCAGCTGCCCGTAACCGGAGTGCCGCAGCGGGGCTGCAGGGCTGGTATGGGCAGGGGCGCCTCCCTGCGACCACCTACATGGCACGGCCCGGTGCTGCTGGGGCCGGACGGGAGGGGACGGAAGTCGCAGGAGGGCGCATTCGGCGGCAAGCGGACTGAGGTGTCTGAGCCGGCGGCTAGTTGGCAGCAGAAAGCCGCAGGGTCAGTCAAAAGCCACAGTCCACTTTTGGGCGGCCGAGAACTGTTGGGCAGAGTTCTCGACCGCGCCGCCGAAGAGGCCAGCCTGGGATATGGGGAAGTTGAGTAAACTGGTTGCCTCAGCCTTGCGCACATCAACCAGGTTAACCCAGAAATGTCTGACCACGCCTGTGGACATCACCTGACTTAGGGAGCATGCGGTCACCTTCGTCGCTCGTAGAGCAAAGTCGGTGATGGCAGGCAGCTCAAGGATGAGCCCTGAATCAGCCCTACCCTCGTGCATGTCACTGCACACCCAAACGATGGCAATAACACACAGTGAGGTGGCAGCCTGCCCCGCAGCTCTATAGGTCCCCGCCACCGGAGTAGACAAGAACCTACGGCATTGGAGGGGTGCTTAGTGTTGCCACGCCAGGTGGAGGTGCTGTGGGGACACATAAGTGTTGCCACAGAACACTCCACAGGGGGAACCCCAGTGTGCCCTAGACTGTGGCCTCTACGAGGGCAGAGAAGGCGGAAGAGGCCGCTGAGCAGTCTTCATGCACATCCGGGTAGAAAGGATTTGGGTTCGCCACCCCCAAAAACCAATCATCAGCCTAAAGTGCTCGGGACATGGCAGAATTTTGCACAGAAACCCGACACTCGTGGCAGCCCGGGCAGCATAGCTGTGAACTCTGAATCTAACTCGCCATGCTAGCACATCCGAGGACAGCAGCACAGACGAGCCAACTCCAGAGAACTCCAGCTCACCTTGTGATACGACGATAAACATGATTTCATCAAATGGGGGACCGAATGAGAACGTGGGCCCTTTTATGTATTTTTTTTGGCAGCCGCGCTCTCACTCGGGACCACGTGGGTTGCAACGTGAAAGATGGGGTTTGGACTGAGGAATTTTTGTCGGTTTAGTTCCAGACCTGACGTCTTAGATCACCCTGTCCACCAGTCGAAGTATTATCTCACGTGGAGAAAATAGTTCGGGTTGTGGATAAGGGGACTCTATTGAGCTCATTGACCGTTATACATTGCGATGGTCACGTTCTCACTTAGAGAACGTGACACACCCACGAGCGTTGTCTGAGCGTGATCAAAGCCCAAACACGTCAAACAGCGCTCGCGCCCATCAGCTGAATCTATCAGAATACCGCACTCAGAAATATACGGGCAGATCGTCTTTAAAAAGACGTGCCGCGCGCTCACTCTTTTAAGGAGAGGAGAAAACCCGCGGATGTTGAAGCGACCAGGGAGAGACACACACACTGGCAGACCACTGCTCTGATCGCAGGCAATGTGAAACTCGCTGGATACCGTCGTCACACCAACACCAGAGAGTTCGCTCGTCTTGAAGAGGTGAGTCACAGTAGTAAACTCAGATTGTGTGGCTTGTGGAGTGAAGAAGTTCTCTTGGCTCCGAAGCAAAAACATACTGCGGTTGCGTCCGCTTCCTCCTTTTATACTCACGAGGTGAGGCGGGGATACGCTATGCAAATTCCGCAGACCCATGCCATTTCTTTGCCATTGGCTCGTTTTTTAATACTCGAAGAGGATTGGCTTTCTAGGCGAAACCCCCATTCTCCGTCATCCGACGTAACTTGGAGTGACTACGAAAGGGAACTCTTCATTTCCTCATTTTTGTTTGCCTCAAGTTAAATATAGGCTCTGCCCTGAGAAAGGTCCTCACAAATGTGTCTACATGGGAAGTGTCCAATGCGGAGCATCACCCTCAGTTGGCCTAGTTTAGATTTTTGACATGTTACAAAGCTACTGCAGGCGAAATATTTTCCTGTCTGAATTGTATTAGGATTTGTTTTATTGATATGATTTTCATGTCTCGTATATTAAAATTAAGTTTTAAGTGATAAAATATTTGCTTTGCTGTGCATTAGAACCACACCAGGCATTTAGTCATATTTCAAAATAATTTATTGAAGCATCCAGATACTTCACCTAGTGAGCAAGCAGCAGGCACCTGATTGGTTAACGTGGCACGAATTGATGTCAAAGTTCAGATTTTTCAACTCGGGTGGCAGGTGCGAATTTGCATCAAACTCGTGAATGCACAAATAGCACTGACTAAATCATTTGCGCGTAACGCGTTTAACGCGACAGACGCTCAATTCGCGCCATTCGCACAAACTTGACACGTGAATGAGGCGTATTCGCGTCTACCGCGCCGCACTCTACGCCTCTTTCACCGCAGGAATTTTGAGAAGAAATTCGTCTTTGCGTTGACTTAACATTGAAATCATTCGCAAACTCAAAATCATTTGTTTTGCTAATACATATGTGCATTTAAATGTCTGAAACCTAAAATAAACATTATGTGGTTGAAAGCACTCAATAGTTATGATATATGACAGCACTGAGTGTGTCCGTCGCCAGCCAACGCGTGAGAGCAAGTTTGAATTTAGCAGTTGATGACGTGAAGCGCTGACCTGACCGTTCTAATCCCACCGATGTGATCGTACACGTGAAAGGGTTAAATGTCCGTCTAGTTTGAACTTGCTGCACTAGCAACTGCTCTCTCTGTGGAAGCTTTGTGTTTAAAGACTAAAATATAAAGAATAAAATATTTCAAGAAATATTCCGTGTCTTGTTATTTACTTATGTGGCAAGTAGCCGATAAGCAGGCTAATGTCCATCCAGCCGGTTGTTCTCATTATAGCTATCTGACTATTACATGAACTAAATTCATTTAAATTATTTTTAGCCATAGCAATACACTTACCCTTGTAAAAATAAAAAAATATAATAATAAAAAATAATAACAATAATAAAGTAAATTTTTATATCATTGAATTTCCATAAAATTTAAACAATCTAGATAATATCTGAGAGATGACATACGGATTTGACAATTCCAGTGTAGACAACCTCAAGACAACAATGTGACAGTTATACCCAATTGTGGCAATGCATTCCAAATAATTCATTCAGGTTCTGAGCCTTGAAAATTACTTTGTTGATTCAAATTGTGTTTTGTTTGCTGAACCTGATCAGATTTAAGGGACAAGTTTACAGTTTCTATCAAGTTTAGGCTTACAACCAGGGTTACCTGGGTTCTGCATCAGTATTATTCTCCTATCATTTTTCTATTTTTTTAGGGATAACTTATGGGTTGGGTTAGGTTTAGGGGAAGGGATATGATTATGATTATTTTCAGAAATAATTTTCAACAAAGTATGTTGACCCAGGAACACATCTAACTCTGTAAAATCAGGATGTGTGTTCTGCATGCTGTAATTTGTTGTGTCAATTTGTTTCTGATTGAAAGAGATAGTTCTATGAAGATATAAGAGTAGCAATACTTGAGAGCACGTAGATGTGAATTTGAGAACTTGTACAATAAAAATCCATACTTGTATGTGAACATTTACACTCACAGCTCCAAAGTGAAAACTTGTAAAATAAAAATCTGAAGTTGAATGTTGAAATTTGCAGACAATAGTCACAAACCATTCTAAGGGCCGGTTCACATATCGCGTCTTTTGCGCGCTCAAGTTCGTTATTTCAAATGTAGGCGCAAATGCACGCTCATAATAGAAGCGACGCAGTCGCGGTGCGACGCGCTCGTTTTTTCCAGGCGCGTCCGCGCCGCATCGAGATAAAAACATCTCAACTTTTCAGAATGCCGCAAGCGCACCGTAGGTCACGTGACACGAACCAATCAGCTTCCTCGCCATTTTTGTTACCTCTTCTTAAAATATAATCAAACTGGTCCTTGTCCACTCTGAAATAGGCTTTGAACCTCCCATTGTCCAGGCGGAGTTCCTGAATCAGCTGGTGAAATTCCCCATGGTTCTTGCGTTTTTGTAGTATGGGGTGCACCCAAGCACTGCGGCGTTTTTTAACTTTTCTGAGTAAATAAATCTTGTAACAGAGTTACAGCAAGGGTTTTTCGGTGGTGGAAATCCATTGCTGAAATTTCCTTCATGTAATGGAGAACGCAGCTGATGGTTGCTTAGCAACGACAGACGCCTCCGGAGTGCAACCGCCCTAGCGCTTCTTTGGAAAAAGGAGAACGCGTGCGCCTAGCGTTTTCTACGCGTTTTTAGGCGCGATATGTGAACGGCCCCTAAATCTGCAGATAAGCAGTCACAAATGTGTAAAATGCCATTCACAGAAATACAATGACAGTCACAAACATCTAAAATATATTTGCATTTATTCTTACATTCACATTCGCAATACAACCTCAATTAGGCACTTGCAACTTCTTGAATCTGTCACTGCAAATTCAAATATCGCGCCTTGACTTTTGCTAATCTTTTCGCGATATATGAGATATATATGAGATGCAAAACTAACTTGTGCACTTGTAACTCAGGGTGTACTCACACTAGGCACGGTTGACATGAACCGGGCCCGAGTACGATTGTCCCCCCTCCCCACTCCCCCTCTGGCCTGCACTCACATAGGGTTTTAGCATTCGTGCCGGAGCACGCTTACGTCATCATTATGGTTTCGGGATAAACAAGAAGAGCGGCGCTCTCTAAACACTATGGAGTCCATCGCTCTGTTTTATTTGTGGATAATTTTGTGTCGTTTGGTCCACGGTGGTCCACGGTGGTCCACAGCCCTCTCACAGCCTGTTGTTAAACAGATGTGTCGCCTTAGTGGCGCAAAAATTTTCACGTAATCGTGCTGCTCGTACGAGGAGGTTTGCAAGGTACCAGCTGAAGTGCAGCAAGTACTTTTGCAGCTTTGATTACGGACTACAGTTCCTAAAACCATAACTTCACGCGTCCAGTTCCGTGCTCCAGCACGGTTAGCGCACACACTGCATGCGAACCGCGCCCGAGTCCAACTGAACCATGCTCTGGCCCACCTCTTCCAAGCGGGCCAGGGCCCGAGCACGGTTCAGAGCACACATACTAGTCAAACGAACCGCGCTTTGGTGGTCAAACACGCTCGGGCACGGTTCAAACTGACTAGTGTGAGTACACCCTCAGTCGCGGTGAGAGCGGAAGGGGGGCGGGAGCAGGGGTGTTCAAAGGAGCCGTTTTATTGGTTTGCGGCGCCTAGCCAATGATATGGGACTTCTATTGTACATGAAGATGTCATGAAACCTGCCTCCTCCTGGATGTTCTGAAACGCTAACATGGCTTAATTAAAAGTAATTAATGATATTATCAAACTTAGTTAACACCATACTATTAATGAATATTACAGAAAAAACAAAAAGAACAAAAAAAAAAAAAACAGATGAACACAGAATATGAATGCAACATGTTAAATTAAGACAGTGCTATTAAAAGACCAAACTCAGGAAACACGATAAATAAAGCATAAAGAAAAGCAATTGAGCAGAACATGAATGCAACTCGTTTAATTGTATGTCAAGCATTTTCCTCTCATAGAAACCCAAGAAAAAGCTCAATGAGGCTTAATGGACCAACAGTTTGTGAATCTTTGTGAATGGCATTTTACACATTTGTGACTGCTTGTCTGCAGCTTCAGATTCAGAATACAGGTTTGTGACTATTGTCTTTGAGTGCAAATCTCAGTGTTCAAGTTCAGATTTTTATTTTACAGGTTTTCACATCGGAGCTGTGAGTGTTCACGTACGGAGCTGTGAGTGTTCACAATGTTTGCA